ATATTGCTGTTATACTTCTATTTTGCTATTTCGTTCGTTGACGTGAAAACACTCGTGAACTCATATATTAGCCCAAATATCAGATTTATGTCGTGATCATACATGTATATATATTCAAATCGCACGGTATTTATGTTTTTAACTATCTTAGAAACACTATTATAGGTAAGAATTGCAGCGATACATATTAGTCCGTTCCAGTTACTTACTTTTCATGTAAAAAATCTGACAGAAATATTACAAAATATACCCATAGAAATTGTGACGTAGTCAATTTAATGCTAACTAATCTATATGCGCTTCGCAGTCTTTCGAAGACGCTATATCCAATCAGCGGTTACGCATTGAAAAGGAGTTCTAAAACGCTAGTTGTATCGAATTCCCATATTTTGCCGCGTGTCATAGTGAAATGTTGAACATATACTAATATTGTGGGCACTTTAACCGCCTTAGCTACACATCCAATGCGGTGTGCAGCGGAAAAAGTCATTTTCAGGACTCAAGATTTCCAGTGAGAATCAAAGCATTCTGACTATCCAGTTTGAGTTATGACAACTGTCATGTAATCTAGAAGAGCGGAGAAGTTGATGTTCGTGTGATCTAGGTTAGTGATTACGCTTGCAGGGTCGGATGTTGTGCTGCAGTGCATGTAGCCAAACGACTCGATTAGTTAGTCTGTTTTCTATTTCTGTTTATGTGTAGAGTTCGTCGTTTGCCGCAGAGACAGCCTAGCGCTCGAGTCATATAATATTCGCGCGAATCCCATCTATTCCCTGCCATATATATGATGTATCTTGCTACAGCACGCATCTGTTATATCTAGTTGGATAAATCGATAATGTTTCACATCAGCTGAAGGATGGTATGTGTAGACGTGAAACTAATATCAACAAACAACGGTTGCTCAGCATTATTATGGTAATAGTCGATTTGCGTCGATGTAATATTAGAGAATTCATCAGATAAAAAAGATTGGTGCCGCAAATTTTTACAAACTAATCACAAAACATCGATACAGTGAAATTCTACATAATATCGCACAAAGAAGAAACGACGAGTTTTCTCTTCCTTAAAACACAGTGTCCATTCTATAGAGGTGGTTTCCTGTATGACTGCACCGTGGTCTGTAAAACGGCAAGGTGCTCGCCATAAACAGGTGACCGGTCTTATAAGCTATACGCTAACAGTGTTATTATTCAATTGTTTCTTTCTCTCCTCATGGTATATGGATCTCCCATCTACCTCTCCTCGCTTCTTTATCGTGCTTCTGCTCCTCTCTCTGCATCCTGCTTCATGCCTTCCGCCGCCTGCTCTGCGGTCCCAGGCCGCCATCCTTCTTCTCTCGCCGTCATACTCCTTCGCTCTCTCCTCTGCTAATTCGCTACAAAGATTTTCACATGATCATATTGCGTTTCTTTCCGGCGCAGGCCTCAAATAGGACGGACGTCATCGGATATCAGAACACGTGCAACCCCGCAGTGAAGGCGTGGCGCCGACATACAAGAACGGTAAGACGCGACATGGATCCGGATATACGCAGTGCTGCAGAACCCAACCCTTATGAGCGTAACGTGTCGCCTGCTTATCCGCCGTGCCCTCGAGTGCGCTCTAGCGTGGAGTAAGTAGAAGTATCTACGCAGCAGCATTAAAAGACCTCCAAGCGTACCGTCGTGGCTGGCCTGGGCGTGGTCTGATTCGCGGGGCTCATGTCGAACCAAGTTACGCTACTCTGAATGAAGAACATTCCTCTTGAATGCCTTCAGTGGCGCTGTCTGAGGTGCCTCGATTGCTGGCTCACGGTCATAGACTGGCATATTTATGTATGTATGTGTGGTGTTGTGATAGTGTGTGTGGTGTGTGGTGTGTGTGTGTGACGCTATCGATAGCCCCGCTCGCTGTTGCAGAGATGCTGGCGTCGTACGAAGCGACGGGCCGCCCACTGCTGCTAGTATGTGCCGGGAGTGCAGGTGTGACGCGTCTGCTGCTTCTCTGGCGCTGCGTAGTAGAATGTGTGTACGTGCGCTGGTCGTACGTTGTGTGATCGGTGGGATCGGATCAGAATGTAGATGTGGTGTGGTGCTGTGTGATGTGCTGTATGTGATTGCTGCGCTCGCTGCTGTCAGGTGGGCCTCGCGTGTGCGTGCTGGTGGGTGCGTGTAGGGAGTGATGCAGGTGCGATCTGCGATGGGTGTGAGACGCTGCTGCGTGTTGCATGCTGTTTGCGATATGCAGTGCGATGTGAAGATGGAGTAGGTTGATAGTAGATGAGGACAGTAGTGACGTTAGTGCGTGAATGCCGACTGTACACCAGTTCGCAGCTCCGCGTGTGACGTGCCGTGCGTGGCTGACCGTGATACGCACGCACGGCACGCCGCGCACAACACACACACCACACAGTACGTAGGACGAATTGTGTGATGAGTATGGTGGGCGGCTCTTCACGATGTGGTTCTGTGTGGCTGAACTTCGTTAGTTCTTTGTGTCCGCAGCAAGAGATGCGATAAAACCGGACGTCGCATTGAACGGAAGACTGCGGTGCAGTGGCCGGCGAGTTCGCGTGTGCAGGGGAGGACCCGGGGGGGGGGAGGCAAGTCACAAGGGGGAGAGAGACGAGGGGTGAGAGTAGACGACCGAGGAAACGAGAGGAAGAGAGAGAAAGAGGATACGAGAGGGAGAGCAGAGACAGGGAAGGGAAGGATTAGAGTGAGAGAAAGCGAGAAAAAGGAGGGATCCATGGTGGATCACGAGAGGCGAACGATGAGTAAGGCAGAGCACAAAGAGAGCGATCGGAGCGCGAGAGGAGGGAGAGAGGGCGGGGTGGGAGAGAGCAGGAAGAGGAACACAGAAGACGAGAGAAGAGACGGGGAGAGGACGAGAGAGAAGAGAAGGGAGAGAAGGAACGAGAGAGAGAAGAGAAAAGAACGGAGGGGGTAGAGATGGAGAGGAGCGACGATGAGCAGAGAGGGGAGAGACGCGAGAGAGATGGCCGGAGCGAGAGAGAAGAGCAGAAAAGGAGGAGAGGAAGAGAGAGAGAGAGGAGACGGGAGGACGACGCCAAGGTCGACTCACGGCCCGCTCGCCCGGCACGACCTCCCAAAAAGCAGTGCGGTGCGCGCGTGCAATACGGAGACGCTGACGTTGGGCTTTGCGATGTGTATGCGGGATGTGGGAGGTGGCGGGCTGACGTGGAGTATACGAGAGGAAGGATGTGATGAGGAAGGACGAGAGGAGAAAGACGAGGAGAGGGCGAGAAGACGTGGGAGAGGAAGTAGGGATGTGTGGAGGAGATGTGTGAGGCACGCGGATGTGTGGGAAGGATAGAGAATAGAGGCTAGCTAGGGCGGGGTGGTGTGTTGGTGCTGAAGATCAGAGGGGGAGGGTGGTGGGTTGGATGGTAACGTGTGCGTGAGGTACATGGGGAGGTCGTTGGCGGTAGTGTAAAGATCAGCCTAGATGAAGAACGTATAGTCCGGGCGTATGGCATACGTGCCGTGTGGCGTGGTGGGCGCTGGTGTAGTTGATGTAGTGTAGCTGTGTGTGTGCTAGTAGTGGCTACAGTCACACACCAGTGCAGTGCACGGCCCGGGCAGTACGGCACGCAGCTCTCCGCACCCAGGCACCACACACAACACACACGCACACCATACACACACATCACACCACACACAACCACACACCCAGAAATTATATAACGTTCGAGAGTGAGGTGATTATGCGTAGTGACGTGTGTAGCCGCAATAAGTGGCGCGGCGCCTCGCTTTAATGAACTGATGTAGAGCGCGTGTGGGGATGGGGTGGTCGCCTCTAAGAACCTCACTCGCTCTCTCTTCTCAAGCCTGTGTTGGTGACTCGGGTCGGATCGGGAAGGCGGGAACACGGTCTGCCTTGCGCGTACGTTGTGTTGTGTGTGTGTGTGTGTGTGTGTGGTGTGGTGTGTGGTGTTGGGTGTGCGGGGGTGTGCGTGTGGCGCTGCTGTGCGTTGTTGTGTCGCCAAGGGAGCCAGTATATGTGGTGTTGTGAGCGTGTGTGATGTGATGTGTCGTGTCGGTGTGAATGTGGTGTGTGTTGTGCTGTGTGTGTGATGTGCTGGTGCGTGTGCCGCTGTGCGTGATGCCATGTGCGTGCGGACGTCGTAGTGGCGTGTGCTCGAGCTGCGTGCGTGCTGCTTGCGTGTGAGTGTGTGTGTGTGTGTGTTGTGTGTGTGTGTGTATGGTGTCGTTGAGTGTCGTGTACGGCTATGTTGTGCTGGGTGTGCTTGTCGTATGTGTGTGTGGTGTGCGTGTGCGTGTTGCGCTGTGCGTGTGCGTCGTACGTGTGCATGCTGTGGTATGCGTGCGCGGTGTGTGTACGTGCGTGCGTGTGTTACGCTGCGTGCGGTACGTGGTGTGTGTGTGCAGTGTGCGTGTGCGTGGTGCGTAGTGCGATATGTGTGTGTGATATGTGTGTGTGAGGCCGGTGATTGTTACGTGTATGTGTGTGTAGTGGTGTGTGCGCTGTGCGTGTGCGTGTGCGTGTGGCGTCGTGCCGTGTCAGTGTGCGCTGTGCGCTGTGCGTGCTGTTGATGCTGCGATGCGCGACGTGTGTGTGTGTGTGCGCTAGCGTGCGTTGCGTGTGTGTTGGTGTGTGTGTTGTCGGTGTGTGTGTGTGTGTGTGTGCTATGTGTGTGTGAGCGTGCTGTACGTGTTAGTGTGTGTGTGTTCTTTTTGGGGCCGTGTGCGTGTGCGTGTGCGTGTGCGTGTGCGTGTGCGTATGCGTGCGGGTGTGGGTACGTGCGTGCGTGTGGGAGCCTTCAAGAGTGAATTTAATTTTAAGAATATCTGCCTGTGCCCATCATCAAGTTTGAAGATACTGTTTTCTAAACCCGACTACGCCCGGCCACCATCATAAACTTTACTTCCATAAATTCACGGATTGCTCTCCTTCCTCCCTACGTATTCTCAGGCCTACACCAAGTGCCACTCAAGTACACCTTTAATATTACTGCTGTTTACCTCCCCCAGGTGCAGAGATGTGAGGAGAAGGCCCATCACCACCACCACGCGCGCGGCTTCTCGAAATCCTCCGACTGCAAGCGCCGAAACGCCGTCAACAGCAACATCAGTAACAACATCAGCGGCAACACACGCGTCGTGCAGGCAGAGGTCTACAACTCCCACGGCGTGCCCGTCACCGCCATCACGGACCCCCGCACCGCGAAGAACGGATTCCACAAAATCCCAAACGGATGCGGCAACGGCAGCGACGTCGTGCATCACCATAGCAACGGCGACGTCATGCATCACCACGGCAACTGCGTCGCCAGCCGCCACCACCACAACAACAACAACAACAACAAGGAAGCGTATCCTAACGGCGTGCTCGCGCGGGATCCCGTGTACGTTCCCGCTCCGGATTACGACAGCTACGACGCGGCGGCCGACGACCGCTCGGGAGGCGATCACACGGACAGCGGCGGGTCAGCGAGCGGGAGCCCCCCGAAGCGCGACCTGGTGGGAGACCGGCTGCGCAAAGCGAGCGGCTCCTCGCAGGTTAGCGGCGACTCCGGCATCGACAGCTACCCGCCGACCTTCGACGATTACCTGCAGGCACTCGGCCCGCTCAAGGGCAGCGCGCATCCTCACAGGGGGCGCCACGCCCGCGACGCCGCCGCCGCCGCAACTTCCGACCCGCTCGCCAACAATCAGCTGGAGATCGTGTCGCGCGAACGGAAGCCGGTAGAGGGCGCTGACGGCGGCGAGGCGGCGGCGGAGTTTTCCAACGTCAAGCTGCGACACGTGGAGAAGGAAGTGAACGGTGATGACGCTCAGGTGAGAGTAGCAGGAGGAGCAGAGAGCCGGGAGAGCACGGGGGCGGAGCTGCCGGAATCCACCGGCCAATCGGGAGAGCTGCAGGCAAAGCTGCAGGCGCGCAGGAAGCTCGCCTACGAGCAACCGGCGCCCCCTGGTGACGACGCAGAGAAAGAAGCCCGCGAAATTCTTCCGGAGGCTGTGCGAGATTCGGCTGCGCAGGCATCACGGGAGGAGGAAGATGCCCACGGGAGGCTGAGGGAGACAGCCAGCAGACAGAATGAAGCCAGCAGTAATAAGGAGAAGGGCGGCGGGCAGAAGAGCGTGAACGCTCAGCTGAAGAGCCTCCTCGAGAAGCGCATATCGCGGCTCGATGGCGCCACCGCCGACGACAGCTACGGCATCAATCCCCTGTTGCTCAAGAAGGTCGGTTCTTGCGAGAACCTGGACGGACACGATCGTTACGTCATCAGTAAGAGCTCAAGTCTGTCGTCGATGTCGTCGGGGTCAGTCGACGTGGAGATAGTGACGGCGACGACGACGACGACGACGATGCATGGGGGAGGAGTCTCACCAAATGCGCTGACACCAGCAGCATTTCCCGCCGCTCCCGCCGCCAATGCAAAGACACCAGCAACACACTCTGTGCCACAGCCTGCCCAGATGGGTACCGGCCCCCCTGAAGTGAGTCCCACACGTCCGTCCTTACCCCTGCCTCAGCGTGCCACACTTTCTGATGAGCAACCTAGCCCTACCCGTCCGTCGCTAACTGTGCCACAGGCCCCGCAAATGCACACAAACCCAACCGAAATTCAGTCGAGTCCCACCCGTACTTCCCTACCCGTGCTGCAGCCGCCTCAGATGCACCCAGCTACTCCTGAAATGCAAGCGAGCCCTACCGGTCCCTCGCTGACAGTGCCGCAGCGTCACACGCCTGCTGAGGTGCTGTCCAGTCCCTCCCGCTCATCCCTCGCACTGCCACAGAATCCAGCGGCGCAGCATCTTGGCCGCATCTTCTCTAGCGGCGAAGTTCCCGTTCCCTCGACCATCACGCGCCAGGGAAAGCCCCCGACCTCTCTCGACATTCCATCCCCCAACGCCCCCGCCACCGACAAGGTAATTTCGTCTACCACGCCGCCTCCTCCGCCCCCTCCCCCCTCTCCCCCGGGGAGCACGATGGCCGCGCCCCCTCCCCCGCCGCCGCCGCCTCCTCCGCCGCCTCCGTCGGTGAGTCACAGCGCGGCGACGTCTAGTTGCGGGTCACCGTCGTCCTCTGCACCGCAGACGCCCCTGGCTGCGGGACCCGTGGTGTCGCTCAAGGATCTACAGTCGATCACGCTGAAGAAAGCCACAGTGAGGAACAACGGTAGGTTGTAGGTCTCTTGCCTCTGTTATAGCTAGCATGTTGACTCTAGTAGCTAGCACTGCCGCGCGCATAGCCGTGTATGTTATGTAATAGCTAATAATTATACCTATTATTAGCTAATGATTTATTAGCTAGAGGTATTATTAGCTCTTGATATATATATATATATATACTAATAACAATAACTCTATAAAACATAAAATTCATTGGCAATGGTTAATTAATTGCTAAATTGTTAATTAATTGTTGATTGGTAATGTACTGATAACATGCCTATACGCGAGGCAGTTGCTATGAGTCAGTTTGCTCGTGTCGCAATGTATAGTTGTGCACGTGTTGTGCCATTTACCTTGTACGTGACTGGTGTTTACCTGGTGGTGGTGACCTGGTGGTGGACGCTACCAGTGTTTACTAGAAAATTGTCGTCTAAGAGATGCGTTGATGATTTTCTGTGTCATGTAGTAATCGGCCACGTTCTGTTATCTGGTGAGCTTAACAACGTGTTCTTCTTAAGCAATCTAAATTTGCACAACGAATGGAGTCAAAAAAGATCAACAGAAAAAATCTACAGGCCCTACTAGGCGCATGTTTAGTGTGTGTATGAATGTCCATGGCGGCGTGCACGAGGACTTGCTTGTCACGTTTTGTGACGTACTTCGTTGTGGAAAGGAGAGTTATCTATTTTACGCGATATCTGAATAATAACGCGGCCTTTAAAATACTAAATATAATTACGCCTAAATGTTAGACAAACATCACGACGCGGACAATCCACTCTACTGTCAGATTACTGTTAGAGTTACAGTAACCACCTTCTGTTGCGAAATATCCTAAGCCATAGTTAGTGGGTTAAAGTCGAAATGCATAGCTGGAGGACGCAGTATACCCTGCCAACTATGGGGGAAGTGTTTAAAAGATTTTCAGGAAGCAGGCGTGGTGCTTACTTTATCATTACACTTAATCATTTTACACACAATTTAAATTACATATAAATTATCATTTGGCACTGTTCATCGGTTTTTATTATGATCCACTCAAAATTATGCGGCATCCATTGGTGTGACGCTGTCTTGAGATGTGGCTGCAATATTCCTGTTTTTGTTTTACCAAAGGATTTCCGAAAATTGGCTATTTTTTTAACACCCAGTCGATAATTGATTAATTGAGGACGGGCGACACCTAAGGAGGAACAAACAAATAAATGGCGGCCGCCTGAAACAATGGAACATTTGTCACACGATGAATTACGGCCCAATTACGACTGACCTCTGTGTGCAGAGAGATTGGCCTTATGCGGGAGGAAACCTGCTCAACTATATGTAAATGCCGTATTTTGTTAATCATGACAATTAGTGGCACAGGCATGTGCATTTATATGCGGCATAAGTGACGTTAAACTACCCTGTTCTCAGGAGTTTACAGTCGCAATCAAGCTGATGCAAATAAAACACAGACAGCAAGAAAAACCTGCTGCCTATGCTCGCGTTTTACTTTACTTGTGCTTTACTGGTCCATTACCGACTTTAGTGATGGCAGGTGCCGGTGATAATCCGTGGACGCCCTTGTTTAGCCAACGATAGATTAAATTCACTTCCTTCTGTAGGATTGGAGACACTGGTCTAGGGCGTTAACAAGGCCAATGTCAGGTGCTTGAAGGTTGCTTGCATTCCACTTGCGTTTCAATAATCCTATTCGAATATACTACCATGTATTTGGATGTATGTGAGCGAACTAGAACAAAAGCTCGTAAAATAGATAAAGGAAAAACGAGAGAGATAGAGAAGAGATAGACGGAAAGAGAGAAAAAGAAAGAGAGAGTGAGAGAAAGACAAGAGGGAAAGGGAGGGAGAGGAAAGGAGACGGGAGATAGGAAGGCAATGAGAGAGATGTCATAGAAAATCTCTAACATCAGGCAAGCGTTTATGCGTAGGTCTAACTAACCTATACTATGCATAAAAGAATTATCCACCACAGAAGCATACTAAGGGGATACTCGCACTCACAGTTTGAATGGCATAGGGGTAGGAGCAACAATAGGGCAAAGACCCCCACCCGCAAAACACAGAAATCCCCCTCTTAGTTGAGAGTCATTGCTCCTAGCGCTACACACGCTCCCTCGCCACGCGAGTCTCTTACTCCCACTGATTGCTCCGTGTGCGAGAAAGACTGGTCTGTTTGTCGTGGGGAGCTGGTTGTGTAGCAGCTAACTTCCCGCGTGGTTTAGCTGCAGAGGCTACGGCAGCTCCGCTTAGAGAGAAAGCGAGGAGTCGGGGAAGACACTGGGAGCTCTGTTCATCACGCAGTCACGCCTGTCCTGTGTGTGTGTGTGTGCAGGATGGACGTCACTACCGGGTCCTTCTGCTATACGCGTCATTGTATCTTCAACTAAGAAATAACTAAGAACATAACTAAGAAAGCGCCCCCTCTCTACTCATGCCTGGCGTGAGTGCTCAGAGTACGCGAGATCGTGGTTTCAGTTCGCCCACTTATAGTACTTTCACACTGCCTCAGTCTACCTCAATGAATCTAATGGGATCAATGGAATCTATTACTGTAGAGTAGTAGTATTAGTAAGATTGGAAGCTAGGCTAGTGATTTACTTAGTCCTTGCGTGGGCCGGATGAGTAGTTGCTTTAGGTTCACTGCCCCCGAATCTTCCCGCCGCCAGGCGACCGGACATGCAGTGACCGCACCGCCACCTATGCGTGTCGTAGCTGCATGCTCTGCTGACTACCCGACACGCGTTCTCTCGTGTCCAGCAGGTGATTGTTGTCTTGACCTCGCTGGCAGCGGTACCTGTTGTATCTCGCCCCCTCTTTAGTAAAGCCGCTGCAGTTTTTAACCTGATCTAGACATTACTTCGATGACCTCGTGTTCTATGTTTGCGATGTTTTTAGCTGGTGATTACGGCATACTCGTTCGTCTGCACGCGCCTTCTGCTCACGAAGGATGTGAATTAAGAAGCACGAGCGGGTTGGGGAGATAGAGGAAGAGATGCCATTCTAGCAAGATTCTTTACTTACCGACTTAGTGTATCTATTAAAGCGAAAAAAAGTAGAACGGGATAAAGAGAGACCGGGAGAGAGGTTGAGGCTGGAATTTAGGGAGAGAAGAGGGAACGTGAGAGGGGAGGCGTGGCGGGAAATATAGAGAAAGGGGTGGGCGAGAATGCGAGCGAGGAAAAGGGCGAATATGAGGGAATTAGTGAATATTAAAACTCCACGCTGGGTGTGTTGCTAGTATTCTCTGATGACGTCTGCTGTAATTGTGATAATCACCAGAAGTCTTAGCCTGTCAGTCAGCACGATGTTATCTATAGGGAAGATACGGACTCTTATTCTGCATGTTAACCGCTTTGTGTTTCGCGTGTGGAAGACTCAAAGGAATCTCTCGACCGGCCGTTCGATCATTGACCTTATATTAGCCACGTGCCGTAGGCTATATGTAGCACATTGTTCACCGCCCTCGTTATCCTTCCCTGCGTTGATCATGTCACGAACTACTGGGCAATTTAAAGTGATTACGTCACCCTAAATAGTAAAAGTAAGAAAAATATTTCCACTTTTTCACAAAATATATGTGATTCCGTTTACATTTTATGGTTAAATTGCTGCATTATACTTCCTATTTTACTATATCGTTCGATGTAAAACATACACTCGTGACTCATACATAGCCCATATGTAGCAAGCAATTAATGCCAGGATCATAGTATTAAATCGTCCGGGAATTTTGGATTTTTAACTACAGTTGAGAAACAATCTTATCAGGTAAGAATTTGACGATACATTTAGTCCCGTTAGTACTTACTTATAATGTAAAAAAATGACAACAAAAATGTTACAAATATACACCATAGAAAATTCGTGACGTAGTCAATTTAAATATTTAGAAGTGGAGATAATTTACGAGCAGAAGCCAACGAACCGGTCAATATAAAGAACGAAGTTGTTGCGAATTATTCGACCTGTTATCGAGTAATCGAGTCCCGGAGCGCATGTCGCTACGTATGTACGTTATATACATACCGCCATCATCTATTTTCCCCAACGCGAAAGAACTTCAATTGAGAAGGCATTCATCAGATGTCAGCACCAGTCACGTCAGATGAGAACTCGAGTGAGTAATGTGTTGGTGCGCCCGTGTTGCGCTCCCTCGATCACCTCCGCCACCAGCAATCACGTATGACCGGTACTCGCTCTCTCACCAACGATCAATGAATAGGGGTGGGAGTGGAGTGAGGGAGGCAGTCGGTCACCTGGCGTTTCACGTGATTTGATCGGTGAACTGCTGCTACGAGTGTGTGCGGTGGAGCTGCCGGGGTTCCCACGTGAAAGCTACATGCGGCCGCAAACGTGAAGCGTTGTGAGATGAGTTAATACCACGAAGAAGAACGCGGGACAGTAAAGACGAACAGCTAACACAGCTAGTAACAGCTAGTAACATTGTAATCGCTGTGGTTGCTCCGTGGAGTCTGTGAATTAAGATTAATGGACTTTGCTGAGTGAACGAATGAGAGAGTGAAAGACAGAGAGAGAGAGAGGCAGAGAGAAAGAGAGGAGGCGAGAGAAAGAGAGAAGGGGAGATAGAAAGAGAGAGAGAGAGGGAGACAAAGAGAGAGAGAGAGAGAGAAAGATAGTGAGAGAGAGAGAGAGAGAGAGAGAGAGAGAGAGAGAGAGACTCAGAGGCTACGATACTTGAGGAAGTCGCACTGGCTACGTACTGCAGTGATGAAGACTTGCTGTGAAAAGGTCTATTCTTCGGCGATGAACAATGCGTGGTAACAAGAGAGCGATTCATAGCAGCACCCGTCACATCGTGCAACAACCGCTGATAGTCTCACACCTACATGTACCAGCTGTTTATGAGAGCCATATCATCCAATGTCATCGTTCACGGACAACTTATAGCCGACTACACTAGTGCGAACATTTCCTCGCATCCGACGCACGGTTGTCATAGCTACGCACAACAAACCGGCTGCCGCATCCGACCTCGTTAGACGCATCAATAGATCAATCGATTATTAGCGTCGATAGATTGCTGAAGGATTGAGATCAGTCGAGTCTCCGACTTGTCTCAACATCTCGCGCATGGAGTGCAACCTGTCTCAACATAGCTCATAACGAGTCGAACCTACTCTATCTGTCAGCATATCGTAGTTAACTACAATTAGTGCTACTTGCCTGGGACTACCACTATACATAGTAGATGGCCGGTAGGCCGGCGAGTGCGGAGCGGTTCTCTACGCAAAATTACATCATGGAGTTTTACACTATGGCCGACTTGATCAATCATTTCAACAACGCGGATGGTGAGAATGCTAGCTGTGGCTTATGTCATCGAAAAATGTTTATCGCTGACTTTATTACTCAGTGGCATCGAGTAGGAATATAAGCTGGTCTAACTCTTATGGGGTAGTACTGTGAGTGGATCTGCGTTCCATTGAGACGGTCAATGACTCCACATCATTCATGTCAGCGGCTGATCAACTGCCGTGCAACGATATCCGTTTGGCAAACGATGGCCAGTGACATGACTCGTGATTAGGAAATGCGCCAGTTTAATATTTGTGTGTGTGATTCAAGTGACTCCTTGTATTGATCAGATGAGAGAGTGCCTGCACTATGACGGTCTTCCTCTTGTGTCTTTCAGATACGACTATGAACCAAGTGAGAAACGACGACCTCATAGCTGAGCTGAAGACAACTAGCGGAGTCACATCGCTGAAGAAGCTACGTGACGATATGGTGAAGAGAAACGTAGATATGGTGAGCCTTTCTCTGCTCGCAGGGCCGTAGGCTGGGCAAATGCCTAGGGGGGGGGCAGTGGCGGATTCACGATTTCAAGGAGGGTGAGAAACAGGTGGGGTCTGGGGGTCCTCCC